CGTAGGAACGAACCACTTAGGCAATCTCACAAGAAATTCAGATAAGTAGTTTTTACTGAAGAAAGTACAAAGCCATAATCAAATTTTTGCAACTGCTTTGATTCAAGAGCTACCGTTTTTACAATCTGTTTAGCTTTTCTTCTTGATTTATATACCAGACTATTTAGTCCTCTCTTTTGAGTTGCCTGACTTGTTTCCATCCGTCCTTTCTTTTTACAATGGTCAGATTTGCTATTATCTTAATTTTCACTGACTGTGTGAGAAGTAATTCTCACAATACCAATAATGCCCCTGCCTTTGTAATGATATAACTTTTTCTCATCTGAGTATTTGGTAGGGCAAAAGGGTACAATGGGTTTTGATTGGCACATTTCTGTCCTTTTCTCACTGCATATCATCTAGATAAGCCTCCCAAACATCTGCCTCTGTCTCCTAGCTGCATTGAACCAAATGTTGTTTCACAGGAGTTGGTTTGCACATTTAGTTGCAAATCATAATATTTATAGAAAGTATTTAAATGTTATGCAAGCTTTTCTGAATCAGCCCTTCATTTAAAAGCTGTTTCAAAAAATTCTGAATGCCTTTTTCAGTGAATACTAAAGCATGAGGTTAAATAGAAATCTTTAAAAATGCTTATTTCACATGCCCTGACATATGGGTGTGGTAGAATATTCAAGAAGCCACTTTTCACCTAATCTCAGAGAAAATCATTTGGGGAAGAATGGACAAGGAGAAGATTCTCTCTCTCTAATATAGATCATGGCCCATTGAAGAGTTTAAAATGTAAATATTAGCATATTTTGAATGGTACCCAGAAGATATTCATCCCCTGGCGACCAAGTTTAATGTGCTCTGAGCAATTAGTCGCCTTCAGGATATATCCTTATGAAGACTGCACTAACAATAATTAAGGTATAAGGGAATGTATGATGATTAGCAAATAGCAGCCACATCCTGGACTAATGACTTAACAAGAGAGAGGGGACTGTAGAATTGAGGAGAAGCTGAGACTCCTGGCTGATATTTGTGCCCTCACAAATGAACCATCACTGTTGATTAATAACATCTGCCTTATATAGATTCACTTTCAACTGACGTTGATATGCAGTCCATTGTTCCAGTGAATTGCAGATTGTAACATACCATCTAATTTAAGTCCTCCATATGGGCAAAATCTTTCTATGGTGTTGCCAGCTTTGTAATGGGAATCCCATTAATTTATTGTTAAAATAAATGTTACCTAACATAAAGCAACCCCAAAGCCCTTAAAGACTTGTGAGGATAAATAAAAGGGCTTGTATTGCAATTATGTCGTTGTTCAGTGCCTCCATACAGATAAGTCATAACCTCTTGCACTAATGTGATTGTTGTTTTTTACATACTTTGTAATAGGTTTCTACCTTTTAATGTACTTTGAAAAAGTCTATACACTGGCTAATTCTTTTTAAAAATATTGTGACACTCCTCCATCCCATCAGAGAAATGCCATTTTGGAGTTTGGGAGGGACTGTTGAATAAATGCAAATGAAATTCCACATTCACAGCAGTCACGTCTTCATTTTTACATTGTTGCTGTTGTTTTCCTTTATATTCTTTACATAGTTTAAAAGGAAAAGATAATGTCATAATATATATTATGACTTCTCTTCAGAGAATGAAGAGAAGTCATTATATATGAATGATTAAAAGATGAATGAGTCAGAGTTTCAAGATGCGTGTAAAAAGGTGACTACATGAGAAACTTTGTTGCCATCTTGTGGTTTGATGTTGGTAATGTAATTCAAATACTGGGGGAAAAAATCTAGCAACACGAGTCCAATTGTAATAAAATACAAAATTTGAATATTTGTATAATATAAGAGAATGCACAGAGATTGTTTTAAAAATAATTATTAAATTACAAACAAAATACATCGATGGTGTATTTCATACACTGCCAGATAACGATCTGGACAGTCAGAAAATTAAAAAATGACTAAAATCAATAAAAGCAGGATTTGTGATCAGTCACAAAATACATCTTCATCAGGAAAAAGATCAAAATAAATCTCAGCGATCTACATACATTCTGCACAGATGATAATTTCTGCAAAACATATGACAAAAAATAGCATGCCACTACTGGCATCAATGTCTTAAGAGGCCAATATCCATTATCAGTAATATGCAAACACTGATAGAAACTTGTTTAATAATCCTTTCTGTTGCATTGTTGTAAATTAGGAAAACATGATTGTACACTATACAGATAATTTCAAATCTGTTTCTAGTCTTTTGTCCTTTGATATTTTTCTCCTTTTAGGAAGCAATTCAGCGTGACTCAGCGTGCTTTTATTGTCTAATATGAACTCTAACCCTTTCCACAATGTTAACAAAAAAAAGTTTGGTTGCCCTGCAGTGACTGTTCATCAAAGCAATTGAGAAAAAATGGAGGAAACCTAACCAGGGGTGGGGGTGGGGAACAAGTGACTTTCTAGAACAGTGTTGTCCAACATGGCTGGCTGGGGAATTCTGGGAGTTGAAGTCCACTCATCCTAAAGTGGCCAAGTTTGGACAAAACTGTTCTAGAAGCTGTTAGATTCTGACTCCCTCAATGCCCAAGTATTGCCCATGCTGATTGGGACCAAGTGGAGGTGGTATCCAACAATATTTGCAAAGGTACAAGTTTCCACACATGGTCTAGTACCAGCTCTAAAGCAAGTTGGTAGCTTTGGTTGGGTGACGAGGAGAATAACAGAAAGAACTGCAGTGTAGTTTCAGAGGAGAAAATATTGACATAGTTTATGGTGATGATGGCAAGGCATTGGTATCAGGCATGCCATTAAGGCTGCAGGAAATCTAAAGTCTATGAGTGATTTTTTAAGGCTTGATTTAATCAACTTATTTGAGGTCCCATTGATGCTATGAGAAAGATTTAAATATGACCAATGAAATTTCACATACAGGTAGTCTTTGCTTAACGACCACAATTGGGACTGGAATTTAGGTCACTAAGTGTTGTAGTTGTTAAGTGAATCATCACATGGCTGCTTCAGTTAGCGACCGCAATCCTGGCATTCCCAGCTGCCTTAATTAAGCGAGAATCGTGGGTCATTAAGCTGACAGAGTCCCAGGTAAGGAGTACGGGGGTGCCTCAGGGGTGGGGGAGGCCCTGGGAGGCTCAGAGCTGACCGCACACAAGTGGCAGCCACCCCTGGAAGCCTCAGCCACCCCAGCCCGGCTCTGCAGCGCTTATGAGTGCAGGGGCACTGCAACTCTCCCCACCCGCCCATCTCCACCCACATCTATGCCCTTTTGACCGACCTGCATAGCACCTGTAGTGGAAGGGCTGGGGCTGAAGTACAGACCAGAGACCTTCAGCAGTCTCAGCCAGCGGCAACTCTCCCCAGGCCTCAACTTCAGCCCCAGTGCTGCCGCTGCCACTGAGAAATGCTGCCTCAGGCCTGTCATGAACCACAATTCAGAGCCTGATTCTGAATCTGATTCTGACTAGGTTGCTCCAGCTGAGCCTGGGGAATGTCAGCCTCAGGAATCATTAAACCATGATGCATCTGAGGCTGATCAGCCTACAGGCATCTTCCAATCAGCTGGAGCAGTCAGATGATGAGGCATGACCCCCAAACCCCAGTTCCAGACACACAGGTGAGCAGAGCAGCATCAATCAAGGAGACTCCTCGCAATGCAAAGGGTGAGCCCTGAATAATTGCAGCCAGCTGCCAGCAGAGAGATTTATGTAGCTTGCTTTGCCTTCACTCTCTGTTGGAAAACAACTCTTTGAAAACCTAGTTCATGTCTTGTGTGTATCCTGTTCTTGAATTCCTGACTTTTGGACTGGCTGACTACTCAATTTGGCTTCATGACTTTTGGCAATGTAACTAGACTACATTCTTTCACTTCTCTGACTGCAAACAGTATTTTACTTTGCTAAGTCTTTGATTTACAACTTGTATGCTGTTATCTGCTTCTGCTCCTTGGCAACTGTGTCTGCTACCTTGAAACAGAACAAAGCCCCACACCACTGACCTTTGCCACTTCACACCATTCCCCAAGCCGCACCTCTCATTCCTTCCCCAAGCCGCGTGTCCCATATCTTTTGCAAGCCGGCGTCCCATTCCTTCCCCAAGCTAGTTCCTCTTGTTCCTTCTGCAAACCGGTGTCTGATTCTCGCAAGACTTCGGGAAGACCAGAAGATTTCTGAAGGATCACAAGAATGGGACGCCAGCTTGCAGAAGGTATGGGACATGCGCCTTGGGGAAGGAACAGGACTTTGGCTTGGGGAAGGAATGAGAGGTGCGGCTTGGGGACGGAATGGAACGTGGATTGCAGAAGGTATGAGGGATGCGCAACTTGGGAAACAGTGTGAGGCAGTGAAGGCCAGCAGTGTGGGGCTTGAGGCAGCATTTCTCAGTGGCAGCAGTGGCACTGGGGCTGAAGTCAAGGCCTGGAGATGGTGGCAGCTGGCTGAGATTGCTGAAGGCTTCGGGCCTCTACTTCAGCCCCAGTCCCAGTGTCAGGTTCGGTCAGCACGAGGTTTCAGGGAAGCACGGGGCTGCAGGGAAGCTC